ATGACTTTATGCAAAAATCGCCTTTTGAGGTCGAAATTCCAATTTTTCTAAAAAATGATGTTTTCTATGTAAAATCCCATAGAAATTTCAAAATTTTCGAATTTCTGCAAAGTAGCCCAAACATTTACCTTTGAGGCCCTAATGCCCAGAAAAAAATATGAGGGCTACTGCATGTACCGTTCGGCAGTTATCTCGAAAAAAAGTCTCTCGGTTATGAATTGTCACCCTGTAAATCGTCTAATGGGTCAACTGATACAAGGTTTGAGCGAGGAACCTACAATTCAACAACTGGATCATCGTCTTACGAAGAGGATGTTTTATCCTGTACTTGTACTCTCACAATTAATGATGGTGAATGGTCAAAACGAGTAGATCTGTTCAAAGAAAGTACACAATCAATAACACTCTATGATGATTCAGTGGAGATCTTAGTTGCTCATGACACTAGTCTATTTCCAAATTATCACGCTCAATATCTTAAGTGCTGTAATAATGCTCATGGTAATGATGAGGTTCTGTTTACATTTGATCAAACCGAAAAACAAATTCATTATCAACTTTATTATTCGAGAGACTATTTCAACGAAATGTCTTTAACTCTAACGAGAAAAGATGAAATCCAATTACTATTTAAATGTCATCTTTACTGGAAAAATGTGCTCTTTGATGGATTTATAATCAATGGTACTGAATCAATTCTTTCGATCAGCAACTTATAGAACCTACCTCTATTAAACGGGAAATATGCTCATGGGCCACTCCTTTTGTTTTGGGCGACTTAAGAATCAGCATTGATGCATCAACCAGTGTCTTTGACCTGCAATTTGCTATTGACAGCTTCACAATTTACACTGAAAATAATGTTACATTGAAAAACTAACCAAACTTTTAGTATCATAAATAGATGAAATTATATCAAAAAATCATTGAAAATTAACCAAGAATTAAATCTAAATTGCATAAATCTTGCGTTTTCATTCCAATATTTTTTAATCAAGGAGATTTCGGTGTATTTGCAGATTGAACCTGAAAAAGTGTTTGTCGAAGACGCATTTGAAAATAAACATAAGACCTATTAGTCCGTCATCAGTCCGTTAGTCATCGTTACTCTATTAATGTGAATTTAAATTGTTTAAAAGTACTTAAATCTAACTGTTTATAAAGTGTAAATATGAAGATAAATCCTGTTTCTGAGTTAATCAAGTTTACTCAGACCAATCAAATTTTTCAATTCATTTATTTCAAGTGGAGTAAAAATTGGATTTTATTTATACACAATAACATTATCAGCATTGGTATTAATTTTCACAAATCTGGCAATTTATGTTTCTTTATTAACCATAAAAAATTCAGTTTTTACACCTTTTTGTAGTACCTTTGCACATTGAAGAAACAAAGCCTTAAATTGTTGATTATCTTGATAAATCTTCATGAAAGCGACTTTGGAATAATCTAATTTTTTATGCTGAATAAAGAAGTGAAATGAAATGATGAAGTCATTTAGGCCAACACTAGACATTCAATGAGAACAATTCTGAGCAAAATTCCAACTGTTGGTGTTTGCGGACTTGTTGATGTTGATGTTGACCTTTTAATTTGTTGAGATGATTGTTATTATCCAAATTGTCCAATTCAGTGACTAACTGATTCATAATCCTCAATCAGACCGATAATTTCAATGATTGTTGGATCATCGATTGGAAAATCAGACCTTTCTTCGTATATTTCCTCGGATTCTTCTTCGACCATTGTTTCTCCATTCGGACCTTGATCAGCAAATCTAAAGATGTCTCTGTATTCACTTGGAGCACTATTAATTGAACAGATTATAAGTTTCACTATAAAAAGATGTAATAAAATCGTTGAAATATTCATTTTCATGGTGACCCTTGGAAAGACTATTTTTAACTATTTCAATATCAATTTCAAATTCAACGAAAAAGTTCACAACTAAACTAATTTAATTGAATAAAATCTATTAATTTGAAGTCGTTTGAATTAAGAACTGATGAACAAACTAATTTGGCTGAAATAAAACTCAGTTTAATAGTTCATCAACCTTCTTTGATGCATCAAAAGTTCAATTGCAATATTCTAATTAGTATTCTAGGCATTCAATTTTTCATGATTAAACTCTTTCAGGTATCACTTATAATTAAAATTAAGTTTGAAGTTTGAGTCTACAATTTAACCAACGGTTAAGCATTTGTAAAAACACGTTTATTTATCAATAAATTACTTTTTTACCATAAAAATTATACATTTTACATAATATCTATCATTAGTTTTGACTAATAAATAATTTAAAAAACTTATTTCCTATCAAATCCATAGCAGCTTTCAAAACTCAGCCAATAACCTGATTTGAATAAGTCTTCAGGAATTACTTTACAATTGTCTAATCCATATTTATGGATCAAAGCAAAATCAACACAATTGACATCTGAATCAGCATTACAATCTACTGCGTGTTTGCTTAAATATCGCCTTAAAATTCCTCTGGAACAATCCAAGCTTGTTGCGCATTTTTGGAAGTTATTTTTGGGTTTACCAGCAATAACCCATTGCTCCATTGTTACTTGATATGGACCACAAGGCCCTTCAGGGTTTGAACAAGCTACTTTATTAAGACATGAATCTGTGCTCTGTAAATATGAAAAATTGTATCATTAGTAATATTTCTAATTTCAAATTTTCATTAATTCTTATAACTTACCTCACATAAACATGATAAACATTGATCGCTAACAGTTATAGTTGTGTTTGTTAGGTGCGGAGGAACTGGACTCGGTGGCAATATTGGATCACCATTAGTTACACCATCTTCAAAGTCATTTCTAAAAGTAGAAGTTGCTGGTGATGAAGATGGTGGGGAACGAGGATTGATTGGTCTTGCAGTTTCTGGTTGATAATAAGTGATTGTTGTAGTGGTTGGTGTTGTTGGACGGGTCTCATAAGAAATAACTGTGGGTTTAATTGTTACAGCTCTAGATGTAGGTTGGTAAGCTGGTGAAAATGTGGGCCGAGTTTCGTACAAAACAACTGGAGGTTTTACAGTTACAGGGCCAACTGACATGGCAGGTTGATCAGATGGTAAATTAGAAGGAGTTTCATACAAATTAAATGGTGGCCTAATAGTTACAGAGCTAGTTGGATTGTGGCGAGGATTAGTTGGATAAGAAGTCGGATAATTCTCGTACATAACGAATGGAGGCTTCACTGTATTAGAGCTCGTAGGCATAAAGGGTAGATTAGTTGGTGATGATAACGTTGGGCGAGTTTCATACAAAATGACCGGTGGTTTAATGGTGACAGAATTTGTCCTATTGAAAGGTTGATTATTTGTTAAAGGTGGTAAATGATTCTCGTATGAAATGACTGGAGGTTTTACTGGTACATAGCTCGTTGGAATAGAAACGTGATTAGTTGGTACAGTTGGGTGATTCGCATTAACACTGGCTGGTGGGTTTACTGAGACAGAGTTACCTGGAGTAGAAGGTTGATTAAGTGTAGGTCGATTCCTAGTAGCTCGTCTATTGTGTGGTGGCTTAACACGTTTGCGTCTACGGTTATTCGAGCTATTGGGTCGAGATCGTGTTGTAACTGGTGAGTCAGAGGGAGTCAAAGATGAGGCTGGAAGTGGCTCGATTGATGGTTGAAAAGATGGCACATGAGAAGGTGAAGAAGATGGAATCATAGCAGGAGGAGATGATGCAGGTAAAGGATTAAAGTGGGGAGTTAAGGACGATGATTCTGAAGGAGATTCAGAAGGTAAAAATGATGAGGGTAACTCTGATGGGTATGATGAAGGTATGGAATGATCATGTGAGGAAGGAAAAGTTTCTGGTGTCGTGAATCGACGAGGTGAATGTCTCTCCCTAGGTAAAATATTACCGTTGACTGAACCAACTTCATTTGATGTTGTTCTTCGAGTTGATGATCGATTACGAGGTGGACGAACAGTTGAAGATGGTAAATTGTTTACGAAATTTGGTACGTAAGGAGCAGAGTCATAAACAGGTGCTTCAGGTGCACTATTATCAAATCGATTTTCAAACGTATCATGTTCACCAGATCGAGTTGAAGGGCTCTCAGGTTCTTTGGGCACAGCTGGATAATAACTAGAGACTGGATAAACAGGTGAACTTGTTCCGTTAGAAGGAATTCTCTTTGGCTTTTGTCTTCTTGAAGGATTTTTCTTCTTCCTGTTGGATCTTCGAGGATTCTCAGAAACAGGATTCGTAGATGATGGAATTGAGGGTTGAGAAGTTCTTCGACCAGAATTGGTATTGGCACCATTCATTGGATAATATAAGACATTATTCTGTCCTGGATATGATGACTTAGGCACATACATGAAATTTTGTTGATTATTTGAAAGATATTGTTGCTGTGGATATGAAGGTGCTGAGTGTAGAGATTCAAGTGAAGGGTTAACAACACATTGGGTTTGACTGAAAACTTGCCAATATTCCGATTCGTATAAAGATTGGTCAGAACAACGATCAGCACCCATTCGGTGAATAGCTGCATAGTCAACACAATCGATAACACCATCACCATTACAATCTCGAGCATATTTCTTCATATAATTGATGATTACGCGTTCAGCACAAGCTTTCAAATTGGTACAAGTTTCAAAATCGTAGCCAATCGCATTTCCATCTTCCCAGTAGTAGCGAGAAATTTGATATGGCCCACAGTTGGTTTGATAATCTGATCCAGTTTCACATTTTAAGTTGTTAATATCACAATTTGATGAAGCCTAGTAAGAAACGAAAACAATGTTATTCAAAGTCTTGGTGATCAAAACAAGATTACATTCATAAAATAAAAAGACTTACCTGGCAAATACATTGTAGACATGAAGGATCAGGATTCTCAGCAGAAACCAAAGAATCTAAAAAAAGACAGAATTAAAAATGATTATCAGAAGGTAAAAAATAAAAATAATAAAGTGATTGCACGAATTTTCAACCCTTAAAGCAAATCCCGCTAAAACTACAAAAGAAAGGAACAGCTTATCTTATCTCTCGCTTTCTCTCTCCAAATCGGCTGATAATAAACTAAATCACACACTAATTATTTTTCACAAACAAATCAGAATAAAATGAATAGAAAACTTAAAAATATTATTTCTCGTAACATGAAAACATAATATTTTCTGGCCTGATCTTAACACTAAAATTTCTGCACAAGCAAAACATTCACAAATTGAATAAAAAACAGATAAACCAATGGTCAAACTGATTGTTGCAATAAAATTTGCTTACATAAAGTTAAGATGAACACAATTGTTAACATGATTGGATTCCGTTGATGTCCCGTTCAGAATTGCTTATGAAATTAACACAATCAGATAGCAAGGATTTTAAATGAGATTTCCTAGCATCTAGAGTAGCCTCTCTGCCCTTTTCTCACTCTTCTCACTCCCATAAAGGTATCACTATCATCATGTTGATCATCAAAATCATTATCATGATCATCATCATCATGATAAACTTCATCTACCATCGGTCATTGGATCCTGTTTGCTCGGACAAGAGCCCATGAAGAAAGATTAAGAAAAGAAAAGAAGGAAAATAAAATTAAATGAAAATTATGCTCCTTTAAGGTCTATGAACGTTATCCAGAAATTAATGATTTCTGAAAATCACAATGAACTTCTATGTAAACGGGATATTTAGATGTTTCCATGAAGACATTGAACCCTTCCTCCTCCTTCCTCCACCCTCTTCCACCTTTATGGTAATACCTTGATTGTTCAATGTTGCTGTTGTTTGCTATCGATTACTTTTCCTTTCAAGTTTATTAACACCAATTTTCTTGCCTCAAATTGCTCTTTATTTTACAATTTCAATACTAACCACAGGTATAGCATGAAGAAAAATGATTACATTAAAACATGAGTTCCACCTGAACTCACAGTTAAACGAGTAAATCAAATCCAAAACCCTTTTCATGATTAATCCTTGTAATTATTCAAACTCTTAGGGATAACATTTTTCATCATGTGTATCAATATTTACCAATATTAATGAAGAAAAATTTGTTTCAATCAATTTGGCTTACAAGATTATCATGAGTTTTGTTTCAATTTTTCAAGCTGATAACTCATTTGGAAGGGATGAATTTCAAGTGAATTAACTTCTCTCTCAATTTAAATGATTTAATGTTCATTGGCCTTAACAGTCAACTTTGATGAGAAGATTGTAAGCAATAAAAGGCAACAATTTAATAATCAACTTCAATAATGTAACTAACCCTTTAACTAAATATTCATATTGACCAACAAGTGAACTTAAATTACCTTTGATTATACAAAATTGAATTTTCTCAATTTCAATGTTCATCTTTGGAAGAAGACTGAATAATTTTAATGATAATTTAACCAAAGAAACAATCTTTTAAACAATTAACATTTTTAAACAGCAATTGAATAATTTTAACATTTACTTCAATCTAAAGGGTAATTTGTATTAACAAGAGTTGTAATGAAAAATCAAGTGAAACCTTTGATTGGCAAGATTGACATAAACACCAATTAAACTGTTATTTTGACAATTAATATTGATTTGAACAATTAAAGGATGAATTTAAAATAACTGGAAAGGAGAGCAAAATGTAAATGAAAATAAAAAAGCAAAAGTGTTGCCAAGAATAGAGTTGATTTTTTAGGTAAAATGAATGCTGAGAATCGGCATGATGGTGGTGAAAATGGATGAAGATTGAAATGAATCTTTTTATTACTAAACATGAACAACGATATTGAACTTAAATAGTGAAAGGAGAGAAGAGAAGGGAAGAAATAAGTTAAAGATGACCTTAGGCTATACCCAAATGAACCAAAAGTTGACCAGAAAGTGAAATACATTTTGTTCAAACATTCAATTTGTTAATATTAACTTTCTATTTCAAATATCCATTTATCTCCTCCTCTAACTTTCTCATCATTCTCATCATTTCCATCATCTTCCTTGCTTCCTTATTTATAATCTCAATCTTTACTTTCACCATTCTTTACCCTCCCAATTGGCTGATGTTAATTCTGGTCTTCTTCATCATCATCTTACTTTGCATCAAATGTTACTTTCCTCAGCCTCGGGCCAACCTCAATTGAAATCAAGTTCATTGGACCTTCTCATCTCGTATTTATCATCTTTCTTTCCATGTCGCTTGAAATTCGTAAAAAAACTATTTTCGGGTAAAAAACTGATGACCCTGTTTCTATCATCATCATCATCAGTATGAGCTTCATTAACTAAAACTAATTCAAACAACTTTCCCTTAATAAGAGTAGGAAGAGACTAAATCCTGTTATCAGGATACGATGATGATGAAGATGAGAATCGGTGTTTTTTTTCATAATTTGCAAACTGTTCGAGCAAATGGTCAACTGAACAGTTCAATGTGCTAACCTTTTCTTGTTTCCTCTTATTGGCTTTCATTTTGTCTAGTGTTATGTTTTACAATTTTATTGATTACCGTTATTTGGATTAACAATCAACTTAATTGTTATTTGTTTTGTTTTCGTTTGCTTTTGCTTTTAAAAACAAATTTCAGTTTACAATGAAAATTTTGGTCAATTTAGTTTGTTTATTCATTTCAGGTAAGTACAACTATTTGGTTTCAATTTGACTAATTTTGTGATTTGATTTGATTTGATTACCGAGCTAAATTTTTAATATCAGCTGTCAGCTGAAAATCAGCTTTGATTGTTTGACAAATTGGCTTCTTTTGTTTTTCATTTTTAAATACAATTTTGTCTTTCAACTCTTTTAGTTTTTGTTTACTCGGAACCAATTTATGGATTTTTTGAAACACCAGGAGATAGTTTAGGATCACCGAGTGAATGGCTCATTTTACCTTCATTGGTCAAAAATAAATTAACCCATGCAAATAGCTTGATTATTAACGGTAATGTTGAAGGAAAGGATCATCAAGCTAATAATAGTGATTATGTAAAGACCCCTGAGAAAATACTCGATCTTCCTGTACTGGATCCGTTAAGTTTATCTTCAATGTGGCTATTAACTAATGAGCCTAGTGATTTTATTAATGCAACTCTTAATCGGGTTTCTGTTACTGGATTAAGAACTTTTAAAGTTAAAGATGTTGCTTCAAATGATTTAACTAAAAGTCTTTCAATTTTGTTACAATTTCCTGCACTCAAAGTAACAGGTGACTATGAGATTACTCACCATTCTCGTCAACCTTTTTTACCCGCTCAATCAGCTGGTAGAGTGTCCAATGATTCTGGTTCATTCACGATAAAAATACCTAATTGGTTTACATCCTGGTTTGCCAATGTGATAAATTACAGTTTAATCAATAGTACACTAACTATTATCAACCCTTGGTGCAAAAGTTATCATGATACTGTTATTCCTCAGTTTACTTCAAACTCAACAAGTTATCAATGTGATTCTTTGTGTTACAAAGCTTTCAATTCAATTGCCTCAATGATTGTTAATCGGGTTACCAGTGAAATTGATTCGCATCTTTTGAAATTGATGAGTTTATTAATTAAAGAAGAAAAACCCATTGATTGGATGCATCAATACAATTTGGCTTTGAGCCATCATCATTTTAATCAAGATAGGAGGTTGTCATCATCTTCAATTAATGATATCGTTAACCATATGGAAGAAGCGCATAGAAGATCAAAAAGACAAGTTCCCTGTAAGCCTGGTAAAGAATTGGACGAATACGTCGACAGTTTGTTTAGATTTGCAGCTCGAATCATCAGAGTTATGGAACCTTTTTCAACACCGAATGCAACAATTTACCTTCCAGAGTACAACATCAAAGTATTCCTATACGAAGGAGGAGCAACTCGTGCTTATTCATTGCAGAGGAGGAAATCGGCTTGGGTTCATTGCTCAAATGAATCTGTATCGTTGGGATTAACGGTTGGCTTTGAAAATTTGCGAATCCGTTATAAATATCGAGCAATCCATGACTGGAAACTGTTATGGGATGGAGATTTTGAAGCTGATTTACAAGATACCAAAATGCAGGTTCAATTTACTCAAACAACACCCAAAGGAGAAGAGGATTCTCAGGTACAACAGAGAGTTGACCGACTTCGCATCTGGAGACTGGGAAAAGTCAGACTAATCATTCGTGGTTTGGGTAACTTGACTCAAGGAGTAGGCCTTTGGTTATCTCAATATCTCAATGACCCATACAACCAAAAGCATTTAAATCCAACATTGAGACGCCTTGAAGTGGAAGCCGTTTCCATGGTTAATGTCATGTTAAAGAACTTCACTGTTCCATTTTTTACAATTATCTAGTTTTTGTTTATTGTTACTAATTTTTGTTTTGTTTTAATCAATTTCCAATTTTAAATCTCATTGCACTCAATTTCAAATGGCCAAGATCATCAACATTGTTACCACCATCATCATTTTTATCCCTCCAATGATCCTCATAATCATCATCATCTTCATTCCAGCAGGAAACGAACTTTATTTCATCTTCTTTCTCTCTTTCCATTTAAATTTGATTTGTTTTCTTCTTCTTCTTGTTGCAATTTTTATTTTAAAACTCAAATTAAAATGTAAATAAATCATCTTCTCACAAACTGTAGTTTAATTTTAAAGTCAAATTCACCTGAATAATCAGAAGATTATTTTAAAATTCAAATATAAAGTAATCAAGTTAACCAAAGTTACAGCTTCAATTGTTAAATATTTGTGTCAAAATTAACCACAATAATTAACCCTGCTCATGATTTCCATCACACTTAGTGCAGTTAATTATTTCAGAATCATTGTGAAAAAATTAATAAAATGTGAAAGCTATAAATAACCGGTTTACAAAGCAAACCAGTAATATTGAATGAATCCTACAATGTTAAGCATAATGATGATAATCATGAAATAATGATAATACAATGATCCTAATAATGATAATAACAATCAAAAATAATGATCATAATGATAATAACAATGATGATGATAGCGATAAGAAAACATTAGATTAAAAAGATGTATTTTTACTGTTAGTTGACAGCACAGGCAACATGAAAGGAAAGTGACAAATATCAAGTCAATTGAATCTTAATACCAATTTAAATAATGATACTGAATCTCAGGCAAACAAAATCTTAATTTTGTATCAATTTATGGAAATGTTTATCTTTAATGATCACCAATGAATATAATTATATACTTTGATTGCTTGAAATGCAAACTAAATCAGCATGATTGTTAAGGTAACAAATATTGCTCACAAGTAATCCGGTAATTGAGACAGTTTATGATTTGAACAGAAAGACATATTATTCAAGAATCATAATATAAATATAAGATAATATAATTGTAACTGAATTAGTTAACCGATGATTAAACCATCAACTATAGCTGCAATCAACTGGTTGCATAGCTATTTAAAGGTGGATACTTTAAATTGGAAGCATCCATTACTGATTTATTATTAAGTTAATCTTGCTTTAAATAGTTGAATCGGTGAATAGGGAAGAAAACACTTAGTTTAATGATTATTATTATTGATTAATTTTAATCAGTTGATGAATTCAATACAACTAATCACAATAAATATAGACGTTCATTTGATTACAATGTATGCTTTCAATGAATGTAAACAGCTGATTTGCTTCACATTTTGATTTTTCATTTTGTTCATTTCTATATCAATGATCGCGATATTACAATTTTAAAGGTCTTCTGATTAACTAAGATTCTTGACCAGAATGATAATCATCAAACATATTTATTATGATAAGATTGGAAACAATAACTGCTTGATAATCATTTGGATAAGGCAATTTTCAATTGATTTTACTATTGTATTTTAAACAAGTTTTTGTTTTGTTCATGATCATAATTTTACAATTAAATTGGAATTACAATTTTCTTTGTTGGTTTTTGAGAAATAAAAAGATTGAAAATCAGATTGAGCTTCAAGTTTTGATGGATTTTATCTTCTGTTCAGATATTGGCCAATTGATTAGTTGAATTACAATAAGTTCATTGGTTTAATGACAAGAAACAAGTTTTGTTGGTGAGATGTTTAAATGACAGTCGAAAAATGATTAGATTTGATTGATTGCACAAGGAAAATAGAGAAAGAAAACAAAATTGAAAATGAAGTTCCTTAGGTGAATATGAGAAAGATTTCAAATTTCACCAAGAAAAATGGATTGAGTAAATAATAAACGAAAAACTTAGCCAAAAAGTGATCAATCAGATGCAATATGAACTGGATAAGTCTACTCTAACTCTTGTTAGATTGAAAACACAACCTGATGAATCCAAAAGGTAGCTTCTTTGAGAATACAAAAAGACAGGTAAAAATCGTTGATGAGTTTTGTTGGTTTTTGGTGAAAATTTGACGTTCAAGATTAAAAAACAGATTTGAAGGCTTAATTTGCAAAGGTTAATGCAGAATTGGTAATAATTAGTAAAAAAGTAAAGTTCAGGAAAACGAGATTTGTGAATATTTTCCAAAAATTCATTCACCTTTACTCCCTAGATGATGATGATGCTATTAATGATAAAATTGTCACAATAAATAACAACAGTAGACGATTTTGTTTTGTCAAACAAATTTGGCTCAACTAAGCAGGTAAATCAACTCTTGTAACTCGTCTTTACGGTTGTACATATAAACAGTTGTTTCCCATAACATGTTGATGAGTTTAACGTTATTAGTTTCATCTAAATTAATATTTTCGGAAATGGGCGGATTTAATCTAAAAAATGGCAAATGAATTCCATGACACCAAGCTTTGGCTCTTTCCACAACTTGACCATTAGATTGAGTTGCCTGAAATTGAAACGCAAAACTGTTATGGTTAAAATTTCAATCTAAATATGAATAAAAATAGTGAGATTTTTAATACAAAATGATGAATGATGATGTCAACTGAAATTTCCAGTAACTAAGCCTGATATAAATATTTCAGGTCTTTTTCAGGTGCATCAAGTTCATTTAGAGATTAGAGATTTTGTTTTACCCAAAACTAACCTGATCAACAAGAAGTTCGCCTAGTGCTGGAGCCATGAAGGCCATTTTAGCCACTCCGACCAAAGTAGCAGGACGGTGAACATCGAGAATAGAAATAGATTTAGTGGGGATTGCACCAGTTCCACATGATACAACTACGGTAGGTTTGAGTGTTCTTTCTGGATGACCCTGTAAAATTAAGATAATTCAATACAACTATTAATAATGGAATGACTCAAGTACTCAAGATTAGAGTTATGATGCAAAGATATTTTGTCATGAAAAATGGATGAAAATTGCAAAGAGAAGATTGTTTCGTGTTAAAAATAGATTTAACTCACAATATGAGCATATGAGGCATTTATCTGAGAAATTTCAGTTAAGGCATCTAAGGTTGGATTGTTCGAGATTAATCCACCATCAAGATAAGGTCCACATGGTCTGAAGTATGTAGGAGCCGCTCCTGATGATCGTGCAGCCATCCAAAGAAGAGTATCAGATCCAGCTGGAGTAGGAGGTCTAGAAGAATCGGGTTCGGTGGACATGATTATTTCATTGGCTGACGGATAATTACGAAATAGAAATAATTCGGCTGGAAATGTATCTGACTTTGTGGCTGTAATCATTAAACGGGGATTAGCGATGTCGCTGATTTTTGTATCAACACCAAACTCTTTTTGGACAAACTTTTCTAAAGGTTCAGAATCATAAGGTCGGGGTCCAAGGAACACTTTATCCTTCAGACGAAAATAAAGTTGACGACATTGAGCTGCTGTATTACCCAAAGCTAAAGATATTGCTAAAAGACCTCCCGTTGATGTACCTGGTGTGAGCAAGAGAAAAAAGAATGATATGTTTAAATATAAATCGCATCGAATACATTGTACTTATTAATTACCAGCAATCCAATTAAAAGTATCATAAGTCCGCCTTTTAGTCATATCTTCAAGAATTGCCAGCATTTGGACCAAGATTAAACCTTTAATCCCTCCACCATCCAGACACAACAGTTTAATCTCATTTTCAGGAGGATCATCAAAATTAATTTGCATTTCTTTTTTCTTCTTTCTTTTAACAGCCTCTTCAAGTACATCTCGATAGTGAACATCATGGATTGAAACAATTCGTGATAATGGCGATGTTTCAGGAGGTATTCCATTGAAAGTAGCATTGATTGCACATCCATCGGTACAGGACAAGTTATGAGCTTTCCTACATCTTTTTGCACCAACAGTATCCAAAATGTAAAGAATCAATTCTTGGTTAGATATTCGTTTGTTGGTTGCAATTATATGCCGAGGAGTTTCCCCACTATTATTACACGTATTTAAATCGGCACCAAAAACAACTAAGGCTTGGACAATAGTCACATCACCAGTTCGAACAGCTATATGTAAAGGCGTTTCACCATTAGGTCCGGTAGCATTAACGTCAGCTCCATGAGACAAGAGAGTGACAATACATGCAAGATTTTTTTTAGCAACTGTACAATGAAAAACTGTTTCTCCTTGGAAATTTTTAGCATTGATATTGCATCCCATTTCAATCAGAGCTTCCATACACTGCGGACTTTTGGCCCAATGAAGGGCTGTTCCACCCATTTTCATAACTTTAGGGTCAAGTTGTTCAATAACATTACACAAACTATGTTCACTGGATTTTTCGACATCAATAGTTTCTAGAGAAGCACCGTTTACATCAGCCCCATTTTTCAACAGCTCCTTGATACATTCAGGTTTGTCAGCAGCACAAGCTAAATAAAGTGGACTATTTGTATCATTGCTTCGTGCATTAATCAACTTTATAATCAGCATTCGATGATCGCTTTGACTGGAGGTTGAATCTTCAGATGATGATGATAAAGATCCTTGACTTTGGAGTGTTGCATTAGACCCAGAAGAAAGAGAAGTGCTTAAAGAAGATGCTATAGTTGATGTTACTGATGAGCTATTTAGTGGTGCTGATGGAGAACTTTCAGAAGGGTTACAAAGTGCTGAAATAATTTCTCGAGTTGTTGTTGCTGCAAAGTGAAAAATATTCCATCCTCGAGCGTCAGTCTTTGATAAATCAGCTCCACAGGAAACTAAATATTGAATCACAGGAAGGCGACAACCTTTTACAGCCAGATGTAGCGGTGTATATTGGGTGATGGGATCAACAGCATCTTTTAATGATGGCTGACTAGCGATAATTCCTTTTAGACAGTCTAGGTAACCAAAATATGCACAAATATGGGCTAATGTTTGCTCTGGATTGGATCGAACATAATTGACCAATTCTTGAAGACTATACGCATTAACCAGATCCGGGAAGTTATTACAAAGGTTGGGTAATTGATTTTTAACCATGGCATGGAATACTTTGTCAGCTTCACCCTGATTTTGGAATCGACAAAGGCTATGAAATGGTAATAAAAAATAAGAAAATTGTGAACATTAGTTTTGTGCGTATCAAGTAGCAATAGATATTGAATCTACGAGAACAAGTCTGGAAAGTTAAGTGCAATTTATATTAATGAATAAATATTGTGACGAAAAAATGAAGGAAAATAATCTCAATAATAAAAATTTCATGGCATATTAGCAACAAGCAAATACCGAGAAAAAGGAGAAACACACACACTGAACATAATGGGTGTGACGAATCTGACGTTTCTTGAAGATTAAACAAGGGCTTTTTTGGTATTAAACTGGTTTTTTCCTTGGAACTATGTCATTCTGTGCTTTTAGGGTCGAAGTTGAATTGAAAGACTCACAATTTTTCACTATAAACGAATTAGTCAGACAATAAATGAGTCATGATGATTACCTGTAATCAACTTCAATTCCTTTAGAAGGCATTGCTTTTTGTAAGACAATCTCAAATCGTGAACTATCAGGTGAACCGTAAAGAACGAGGCAATCTTCCCTTTGGTAAACATGATGTATCTTGTAATCATCATTTTTCACTTCAACTACCACATTGAATGGATAATCAGATACATCTTTTTTACGAAAACTTCCAACAAAATCACGAAGGAAAGACATGATGATGAATTGCTAGAACGATAATCCAGAGGTGATGGTTAATATGAACAATGTGAAAAGGAATTAGAAATTAAGAGACTAAAAAACCAATAAATGTTGAATAGTGAAGGTCAGCTAATTGTAGAACATCATTCATTGATTTTTGGAGAAAAAATAGGAACAATTTTATAAATATGGTGAAAGATATTTTGTTATAAGTGAAACAAAAACAAATGATGAGTGGTGGTGACGATGATGATATATTGGTGATGTTTGACAGTGTTGATAGGAAAGAGTAAACAATTTAATCTATGGTTGATAGTCATTCAATACTCAATTATTTGTAAATAAACACAAATAAAGGGGGAGGGATGTTGAAATTCATTGTTAATCACAATTTAAAAGTGAAAGGGTTTAAAGTAAAAACATTAACAAAACAAAACAGGAATATACAATTTAATAATAAGAACCAGTTGAAAGGGAGAAATCAGCTGATCATTTTTTTTACTCACGCATCTTCATAATAACATTGTACAAGGTGTTCAAATGGCTGGGTTATATTCGTGATTGAATATCTCAGCAATTAATCAGCAAATCGAGTTATTTGTAGGTTTTTCTTATCTCTCTTTCACAGCAATACTTCGAAAATGTCGAAATATGGTTTTAAGCATAAAATTTTTTAACATATCAGTGAAACATCAGTGAACTGGATTTGAAACATAAGGACATATTAAGTCGAATAAAATTCTATGTGATTTATTCTAATGTCGAAGTTTAATTTAATTCTTATTCATTGTGTGAAATATATTGTGCCGAGAATTCTGTGTTTTGAGATTGGACATGATATTAAATACCCAAGTTTCAGTAGAGATGTTACTTTTTAATCCACCTTGTATTTACATTGTTAATACTCTCACTTGTTTCACATGAATAATCAATTTTTTACATTTTTCTGGCTAATCTATCTCAACGATCAGAAAAGCTTTAGAGATAGATTATTGGAGGTATTTCGGTAGCATTTACGCTTCTAAATGCCATGGAAAATGAATACGAGAAAAAATTATGAAATGTTTTCACCATTAACCACATGAATTCTGTATTACACTTTAATATCAAGCATTTCATATAACGGCTTGAAAATTTGGTGATTACTAATCAAAAAATGAGTTTAAGGTTGAATGAACGAATTGAATATTTAATGTCAAGTTTATTCCATCAATTCAAATGATTTTATTTTGTATTTTCAGAAAAATAATATCAAAGAATTGATTTAATAAATTGAAAAACAAATAACTAACATTTGTATCAGTTTACTGTAGGACACATTAGATTTATAATATTTAGCTTTTGGTTTAAACAGTTTTATAATTGATTTTGCTTTTGTTATAAATGATTTAGAAAAAGAAGGAACAGCGGGTAAGGGAAAAATGAAGGAGGAAGGATTAATAATATGAATAAAATCATTCTAGACAAAATACCATGTAATTGAAATGCTTATTTAGCAATAACAGAGAAATTAGCTTTAATCAGATCACCCAAACCAATCTCGATTTTATCACCAGGTTTTACAGAACCAGTTCCTGCAGGTGATCCTGTTAGAATAACATCTCCAGGTTCCAGGGTGAAAAATGAGCTTATGTGACTAATAATATACGGTATTTTGAAAATCATGTCTTTTGTGTTACCATCTTGTCTCATTTGTCCATTAACTGAACACCAAATTCGTTGATTTTCGATATCTGGAATCTTTTCTTTTGGGATAAAAGTGCCTACTGGACAAAAGGTATCAGAGCCTTTTGCTCGAGACCAGGGCATACCTTGTTCTTTTGCTTTTGCTTGCCAATCTCTGGCTGTCATATCAAGGGCAATGGTATATCCACCGACATGATCCCAAGCAGTGTTTTCTGCAATATCACTTCCTTTGAACCCAATGATAACAGCTAATTCGACTTCATGCTGTAAATCTGAACATTCCTTTGGATACTGTATTGATGTGAAAGATAAAGAAAAAATTTGGTTAATGAAACATCTGAATAGATGGTTAAATAAACAAGGAAACGATAAATATATGAATTGTGACAGTTGAATCAAGAGTTTCATTCAATTGAGTGCAATAATCACGGAATAATATAAAATTCAAAAGGCACTAATTCAATAGATATTTATGAAAGTCATTCTGTAGCATGTGGTCCAAGCTAACAGCCATAAACACTGCAATCTTAATTTAAATGGCTATATGAAAGCCTAAGAATTCGTGATTGTATAGACTCCAAGCTACTCGGGGAAAATTCAAGTCTGGAAGGAGGTTTTTTTCCTTGATTGAAACAATTGAGGTAAGTTTTCATAGATTCTGAAAGAAAGAAATGAGCCAGAAAAACAAGAACTGAAGCACACAAATCCTCGATAAAGCACTAGCAATAAAACCTGCCTGGCAACTCAATATTCATATGTTTTTCAGATGTCACATTATGGATTAGTTTTATCAATAATTAATTACTTTAATTGATGATCCATTGACTACGAAACTTGTTGGAGGCTTGAGAAAAATAACAGGACTTTCCGGCTTTCCGGCATATTTCATCTCTTTAACATGGCCACTAAAATCATTGAAAGAAGATTAATTAAATTGCAAAAATCAATAAAACAAGAAAATTATGCAGGTAAAATTTAAACTTACAGATAATTACGTCCAACACCAACAATTTTACGACTAAATTCAACAAAGTTAATGAGCCTCATATTGAAAAGCCTAAGAGAAGCACAATAATGAGTAGAAAACTGGACAGAGCTTAAACAGATTCGCCAAGTTGAACAAAATTGATTTAACCAGCGCACATACAAAACAGAATCGTCGATAAATATGCAAGAACAATTGCTGGTAATTTGATTAAATTTAAACAAAAGATCAAGTAAAATTAGACCTTATAATGCACAACGGAACAAAACATAAAGCATGAGTTTTTAACACAAATAGAAAATTTTGCAACCAAGGTTACCCGAGCGCGGGTAAAGTTGATTATTATTTTAATTTTGAGTTGGTTTTAATAAAATTAGCTGCTCTAGACTAAGAATAAAGTAATTAACGCTTTAAATTGTTGAATTTGGATTTTTTTTATTGTCATAAACAATCAACATGAATCAATAATCAATCATAACCATTAATAATCATTGAACTCTCATATTTCCGAAAAACCATTAAATGGACTTGGACATGAAATATTGATCAATATTCAATGAAATAGATTAAAAAAATTTACACTAATTGTTACTAATAGACACAGAAAAGAAAAAATTAAATCGATATCTTATTTATTCGCATCATGCAAGTTACATTGTATCAGCTGATTTCAGGTGGTTTGTTATTCTCACTGTGACTGGTTTACTGCATTTTCTTGTTTTTGTTTTTCACTTTACTTTGACTTATTTTGACATGTTTAGTACCAAATTAACGCATCTGGTCTTTAATAAAGCGTCCATCAATGTTAAAGCAATTATTTTAAATATCCGACCTTATTCGACCAATTATAACCTTGTTAAGTAAGTCATTTTATTTTACATGAGACTATTTTTATCCTTTATTTACCACTCCTTTTGTTTATCAATTGCGTATTTAGACTAATCAATGTTTCTTGTGTTTTATCTTTGTGATTCCATGTAACTGACAGATTAGCTGAAGTTGGAAGACTTGAAACTCCTAAATTAGATGGTAAATACGAAACTGGTCAATTATTTTTACACAGAGTCTTTGGTTATCGAGGAGTGACTCTATTTCCTTGGATAGCTAAAGTTTATGATAGAGATGTACCTAATCAGAGAGACGACATGTAGGTTGATGATAATTTTTTTGTAAATACTGTTCTACTGCATTCTCTAATTTTCACTATTTGTTTTCATATTTCTTTACAGTAAGCTAGATGATTCAAGTGCTGGTTATAACCATGTCGGAAAAGAAGTGAAAGGTCACACTCATATTTATTATCAGGTTTTAATCGATTCTAGAGACTGTCCATTTGTGGTAAGTTGGTAAGAGGTGATAGATTTACCAATTCAAGTTTCACTTATTTTTCTAATTTCTTTCCAGAGAGCACAAACAGAAGCTGTTACATTTCTTGGCAATCAAGAAAATAGCCGGTCATTATATGCTATTCCCGGATTAGATTATGTTGCACATGAAGATATTTTACCTTATACCACCACTGATCGTCAACCAATACAACATGAATTATTCGAGAAATTTTTGGCTCGTGATCATGAACGAGACCCTCCTTTTGTCCCTAAAGATACTTTAAAAGCATGGCAAGAAAAAAATCACCCTTGGTTAGAGTTATCTGATGTCCATAAAGAAACCACAGAAAATGTTAGAGTAACTGCGATACCTTTTTATATGGGCTGCCGAGTTTCACCACAAGGAAATGTTTATTGGGTAAGAATCAACGCTATTCAATCTTATTGAAATATACTTAATTGAGTATTTTAAATATATTCATTTTTTCTTGTCCTTTAGTGGAGGTATTGCATTAGACTTGAAAATTTAAGTGATCTTGCTGTACAGTTACGAGAAAGACATTGGAGAATTTTCAGTCTTTCAGGAACATTGGAGACAGTCCGAGGTCGTGGAGTTGTTGGTCAAGAGCCAATTTTATCCAAATCACAACCTGCATTTCAATACAGTAGTCATGTTAGTCTCCAATCAGCCAATGGTCATATGTGGTAAGTAATTTAAGCACAAATAATCAAAACCTCGAAAGCTTAAAGGACAAAGTTAATTAAAGATGTATCATTTATTTATTTTCAGGGGAAATTTCAGAATGGAAAGAGAAGATGGTTATACTTTCGATTGCAGGATTCCACCGTTTTCATTGGATAGCAAACAAGATCCAAATCCCCACAATTAAGATCATCTGTTAAACCTCTATTCTGCTTTTGTAATATAATCTATGTAATGACTGAAATTAAATTTTTTCGCTCCAAATTTTCGCAAAGCTCAGAGTTCCACAAAATTGAATGAAACCACTGAGCAATCTGTTTATTTATAACAGATATACATACGTGATTTAATACACACTCAATCTATCAAAATCAATGTTAAATTATTATATTGATTTAATCCACTCATGAGAACTGTATTGAACAAATGTATCAAATGATTCTGGAATCAATAATTGAAGAAAGGCCTCTGTGTAAAGCAGCAGCTAATGTTGGGTTGCAGGTAAGTGCATGATGATTTTGAGTAGGTTAAATGTTCATTTTTTTAATCAAAGTATAGTCATTAAATCGTTAAATGATGATTCCAATTATTCCGCAGTTAATGTATTAAGAATCTACCAGATGGCTCTTTGAGTTTAAAAGTAACCAATTTTCAGTTGCGGATCCGCTTTGCATTTTTGAGAAACCGCATCCACTTTCAATGCATTTAGATTAACCGAACTTCAGCTACAGAAAATCAGCTTTCATCTGATCTAATCCTAGATTCAATATTTCTCTGCATTTTCCCAACCAGTCTTCACTATTTACACATCTTTAGATTCAATTCTCGTTATCGTTTTCTATTGAAAATCAATCAGTGACTCAGGATATTATTCTCATGCTTTTGATGACCATTTTGTATTCTCTTGATCTGGACACACCTCACTACTCTTAATTGCAATATTGTTTAACCTCTTCTTAACTTCAAATGACTGACACAGTTTATCATCACTGAATCAACCATCTAAAGCCATCATTTTCTAAATTATATCTAATTTGTTGAACATACTCCTTCACTTGTATCACTATAATGAGTGATCAAGAAGTGAAAGGGAAGAAAAATGGTCGAGGTAGAGGTCGTGGAAAAGCATCAACAACCTCAACAACGACAACAGCAACTAAAACCACAGGAAGTAATTCAAATGCTACAGCTGCAGCTAGCACTGGTAAAAAAAGCAAAAAGAAGGGTTCATCCATAAAAGGAATCAGAACTGGTCGTGGTCGTGGTAGAAATAGGATTGAAGATTCTAGTTCAGATGAAGAGACTGTTGTAGTACCTAAAATAGAGCCAACTAACGGGGAAAATGAGACTCCTGTTGAAACTGCCCAAGAGATACCCATTGAGATGCCTAAAGAAAAAGTTTCCGATGAAAATTTTATCAATAGAATCCTCAAAGACGATAAACCGCTTTTTACCGAGTCTAATCATTTACCTTTGATCCATACCTTTCAATCTCCATCTTGTATGTATTGAGAATTTTTTACTTCATCTATCAAGTATTTTTAATCATATGCAAACTTTTCTTTTATAGTGAATTTCAAAGATGAAATCGACGATGACCTTACTCTGACGTTATCTTTCGTTGGTCCCAGAATTAATGTACCATTGCACAACAATAAGCCATTGACATGGAATCATAAAGTTAATCTCATCGGGGATAAATGTCCAAGCCCTCGCATTCACATTTGCGAAAAATGTGAACGTCCGATTTTACTCTATGGCAGACTAGTAAGCTTAATTTAAATTTTATTTCGTTCTTATCCATCTTGTGATTTTCATCATGTTTTTACACAACAACTGAAAATAATCTTTCTCTCAACTTCTTCTTTAGATACCTTGTAAACATGTTTTCTGTTATGACTGTGCCAAAGCTAATAACCCTCTTTGCCTTCGGTGTAATGATAAGGTCATAAGAGTAGAAAAGAATAAATTAGGAGCTGTTTTCATGTGCATTTATGAAAATTGCCGTCGTACATATCTTAGCCACAGAGATCTACAAGCTCACATCTCTCATCGACATCTCAGACGTTCATCATCTAACTTCAATTCATCTAATCAACTCTCTAAGCAATCACAGCAAGGAATTCCTATGGGGGCATCATGTTCTAGTAGTTCATTGACTGTTACATCGCCAACCACACTGGTCGGCTCTTCATCATTGAAAAATCCATTTCCTGTGCGAAGTAAAACAGTCCATAACAGTAGCTCTCTCAACAATTTCACTCACATCTCATCTTCTCGTGCAAACAGCTCCTCTATTCAATTATCTTCACTTGATGATCAACTTGGTAGTAATAACCACCAAACTCACCATAGTAGTCATAGCAGTAGAAATAAATTACTGAGTAATAAAAATTTTGTGATAAGTGGTAAATCGCCCAATTGTAATCCTCAAAATTTAAATAATCTACCTCGAAATAGTTTACCATGGCCAACGCCAAGTCAACCATCGTCAACAACATCATCTGCATCTTCATCATCCTTCACATCACCAACTCTTCCATCATCTCTTCCCATCACCAATTCATGGAATCTACCTTTGCTCTCGGATCCTCGTCAAGGATCCGCCATAAGTCGTCATTTCTACCCATAACGAAATACTTTTTGGTCATTTACCTTTGATTTTTAGAGCATGATTGTAATCATCAATCGTATTTCTTTTACAATTCAATTTGTAATCTAGTACGATAGTAGCTTGAAAATTGACTCTTCTCAAGTTGAACATACTTAAAATATTGTATTAAACTTTGTCTAAAACTCTGTATTTTGGGTCTTTTTGATTAATTTAAGTATTCTTAAAGTTTGAATCTTATTAAATTACTTCAGGTAAAAGTCGATTTGAATTAATCATTTTATTCTTTAAAAGTGAAACCAATTATAGTTTCATATATTACATTTTGTAAATTGACATTCTTCGGAACACGAAAAAATACACTATTTCGTACTTTCGATCTAATTATATTGGAAAAAATAAGATTTTTCATAATTGAATATTGCACCTTTTCCGATCAGATAATTATTGACATTATCCAACTTGAAATATCCGTAAGAAGTGTGATTATAATCGGAAAAAAACAGTAACTTGTTTCTTCTTATTAATATTTGCTCTCTTTCAAATTTCCAATACCCGCTTTTTACCACACAAAAGCATCCATTCTTCATGATAGACTCAATTTCAGTCCATAATTCTAGATTTCTGGTTTTTAATCTATTTTTTAATTACACTTTGAGTTTCTTTGATGGATGAAGCTTTTACAAATTCAACCAAGGCGCCTTTCAAAAGCAGCAGTAGCTCCTCCACTGAATTTTACATTGAATTGAAAATTGTTTTCAAGAGAAGATACTTTCGTTTTCTTCTTTCCTATTATTTTCAAAATATGAAATTATGTTTAAGTAAATTTATTAGGTGTAAATTGAATAATTTTTATTTTATTTTCTTAGTTAATAAATCTGTGGACAATAATTATTATTTTCACCATATAGATGACCATCCTATGTTGTTTAGGTCCTGACATACCTTACTATTTTTAATTGTTATACTGTTTAACCTCCTCTAAACTCCAAATGACTGACTTCGTTTATTATCATTGAATCAACTATTTATCACCATCATCTTTTAATTATTTCTAAATTTGTTCAACATTCTCCTTCACTTGTATCACTATAATGAGTGATCAAGAAGTGAAAGGGAAGAAAAATGGTCGAAATAGAGGTCGTGGAAAAGCTTCATCAACATCAACAGCGTCTAAAGCCACAGGAAACAATGGACCTAATGCTGCATCTACAGCTAGTACTGGTAAAAAAAGTACAACCAAGAAGAAAGGATTTCTCTTCTTCTCTCTTTTTTCATTCTTATTTAATCAAGGCCGGATAACTGCAAAAATGACTCCGAAAGAATCACTTGCTATTAAATTGGCTCAAAGACCGGACCGTCAAGTGTTGATAGAGAAAAATATTTTACCCGCAATGACTGAGGAGGAAAGACAAGAGTCAAGAGAAACAGTAAAAAGTACTCTTTCAAGGCGACTAAGTTCACGACCAACCATCGAGGAATTAGAGCAAAGGAATATACTCAAGCTTCAAACACCAGAGGAAATGTTATTGGAAAAGGAGCAAATAAAGAAGACACTCAATCGCAAGGTTGGCAAATATAAAGATAATTTTCTAATTTCTCTTTGTTTTCTTTTCAATCCTGGCTTACAACTTCCTTATTCTGGTTTTATTCAAATTTTATCAACCTTTTATATCCTTTCAGTATATTTTTCTGCATGCTTCCCTGTCTGGAGATTGTTTTGACTTTTTCTTCTTCTTCACCGAGACAATTTCAAGAGCATTTTCACTTTCCAATACTGTTCCTTTTCAGTCGATTCTTATTTTTGGTCTCTCCAATATTTTCATTTTCACTTTCAGTATCCAATTCTTGATTCCATTGATAAATCACTCTTGACAAGAGTTACTCTAATATTTATCATTCTCTAACTATCGGAAGAGAGTTCAACTCTATCATATAATATACAGTTGTTTCTCTGTTGTAACCACTTTATTGAAGAGCATTTGATCACCTCTCATTTTCACATCGTTAAAATAGGTTTTATCAAGAGATTTTCAGTCCGATCTCTTAATTTGCTAGTCTCATTGCAAACGATAACAATCAGGTATGATGTTAGATTAACTTAGAGGTTTATCCATCAACAAGCTTTTCATATTTCACCACAAATCCCCACTTCCCCTCTTTCCCTCTCTATCCCTATCTTTCCCTCACTCTCTTCCTAGATTTCAATAATAATTTAATTTAGAGGCAATTTATCAGTCCATTAGCCAAGTCATCAGCTCAACAATTTTCAATATGTTTTGATTGTAAATAAATATTGTAAACACATTGGATCAGTAAAAGTCGACATGTAATCGTATGCTCCTTATACGGTGAAACCCATAAATGGGATTGACAAAGAAGCAAATTTAGATTCATTCAATGTTTTTTCAGTTTGATTTTTTGTGCATCGTCGCTTTTAATTGATTACTGTTTAAAAAAGCTTACAATTGCTTGGTTGATCACTCACTTTACAACGATATATTGTTTCACTCTTTCAATCTCATCAATAGAAACAGTAGTAACAAAGACAATAATACGAGAATAAGCACAAACATGATTCAAGTTAGGAACAAAAATCATTGTGTGATAATCCTTGCATCTCTTTCCCAGCCACTCCAAATTTCCATGTAAACATAGTTTATACACAAAACATAAATTCATCTCTGACTTTTCATCATGATAATCAAGAGGTGCTTGTCACTCTACTAAATCTATCTAAGAAAGTCTTATCTCCTTGGAGTGTTTTTTTGAGGTATCATTTTGGAACGAATCAGATGAAAGGGTAAACGCAATTGATCAGCAAACTACAAGTAATGGTCATACTTAGCAATCTATAACCATTTCGATCACTCATCCAATGATAAATCAGGTTCCATGACAAAATGATTGTCATTACTGTTAATTTTTGTGATCATTAAATTAGCAATTTCATCTGGTTCACCAGAAATGCCAAAAAATGTTCAATCTCAATTGACAGTGTTTTCTGTACCCACACCATCACTTTGTGATTGCAATTGTGAAAATAATTTCCATGAGTTTGTCATTTTTTACTTTATTCATAATACAATGTAAATGTAAATGATAGTCATTCAGTTTTTGATTCTGTTATTTGCTGAGCTTTTCCAAGTCCATTGAGAGTATTAAAAGGATGGTCTCTCCTTGTTTCCATTGTATGTCCCATTTTGTTACCTTGATGGTAAAACCATTAACCATTATCAGGCACAATCACAGGATTCAACAACCATGTTTGCCAAATTTTTTTGAAACAAATAGCCACTTTCATTAACATAGATCAATGAAATGTTAGACATTTCCCGTGGAGAACAGCAAAGGTTGATTATTGATGAGTACTTTTGGACAACCGTTGTATGATGATATCGAGCATGAGATATATCACATTTACCTATTTAAATCAAACAACAAAATGATCAATTTCTGATTGAATGTGAAAAACAATTTCAATTTGTCTGATACTTTACCTTTACAGTAATTAGCATAATAGCCAGGCGGTTGGACAATCCAATTATCCCAACCAATTTGAGTAAAATTAACATAAAAACTTTCTCGGCAACATGATGAGGTATTTTTAGTTGCATTACAATCAACTTTTCGTCTTCTCCTGGAAGCCTGTTGAATAAATCAAAATCAATTGATTAGTTAACTTTCAGATTTAATGTTTTCAAAATTAAGTAAATTCAGTGTTTCATTGTTTTATGTAAAAACTCATTTCTATCGTGTCCAGACAATGACAGTTGAACCTTTCCATTGTCAATTATGTATTACAATAATGTTAGGTGACAATCTGATGAATATTATCATGCTTGGTTACCTGATATACTTGTCTAGCTTTTCATAGTTTACAAATTATGGTTATTCAGATAAACAGTTTTGCTGTTTTGTGGTGAAAAAAATTCACATAAAAAGCTTTTCCATCATCAATCCTTTTGTTCATTATTTATGAAACAATCATCTTTATTAACCTTGCAATGCAATTCACTTTTCAATCACTTTCTACCATGAAAATCGCTTTCAAATGATTCATTCTATGGAAAAAATTATGAAATTGTTGTCAACGGAAAAGTGTAAACTTAATGTTTCCGTCTTTTAAAGCAACAATTACTTGATTAACTGATCAAATTTCAATGAATCAACTTTATCAATGAAATTCTTTTACTACTTTTCAATATTGATTTTCATCAAACTGTTGATTGAGTTTTTATAACAAGTTTCTGACATTTTTTATCATCGATGAGATGAAATCAAATTCCTGTTCAACTTGAATGCAACTTTTTACGAAAAAAAAATTCTAATTAAATATTGCATGAAATTTACACGAAAATTTCAATATCGTCATCAGCATTATTGATGAGTAGCTGAAACTTTACATGATCATGATTTGCCAATATTTGAATGAAAATCACTTAATTTCATCTATTTTTTTCTCCATAAAAAGCTTTGCTCATCTTGAAATTGATTATTCATCACAATTAGATTGATAAGTTTCAATATCTAAATCCTGAGTTTCGGTTTAACTTTCCCTTTGAACATCAACTGAATCATATGCAATGACAATGAAAGTGAAGCTTAAACCTGTCATTCCTTTAATCTGAATTACTTCTCAATCAGCATCTCATGTGACTAAATAAGTGTATTAAATGTAAAGTGAAGTGTAAAGTCAGCAAGAATGCGAAAGTGAAAAAAGACACTTCATTGAGCGAAACAATTAACGTAACAATCAAATGTAAATAGATTAATAAATTAGCCAGTTCAATCAAATTAAGGACATTCTAATCAATCAGTTTCAAATGTTGCCGTTTTGGATACAAAAACATTGAAAATCAATTTCAATGATTTCATAAATTTCCAGATTTTTTCATCTCAACATTGTTTCCTCAATTCATTGAATTGGGTTTATTAGTTTATCTCAACATTGTAAATGCTTGTAACAACTAATCATTTTAGTTTCTTAATACAATTTTGTAATTGTTTCAATTGAACTCAAGTGTTATTGATTTGTAATAACCTTTAATCAGCCTTTTCACTGCACATGTTGATTAATGATAGTTGCCTCAGTTGATTCAAGTCACAATCGTTGATATCTGTTAATCATTGTCTATTTTAAAATTCATGTAACGTTCATTTTCAATGTTATCAAGTCTTTCAGTTTACTGAACAAAACTGAAAAGTTGAACAATTTACTCAAACATGTTGAACACACATTGATTGCTCATCTCTAATTATCTCTTTTTTTCGTTAATCACATTCACACAAATTCATTTGATGTTTAAATAAGATTCAATTTTGCTCTCTTGGTTACTTACCGAGATGTAATTAAATTCAATTGTCATTAGTGAAGAATGCAATTTAGCCGATGAAGTCAACGTTTCAATTACGATCATGGGTTGACCTTCCAACTGATTCCACTTGTATTTCAATATAAGTTGACTCAAATCATATTCCCGCCATTCATATTCATCATTCAGAGTATTATCAGTGTACCTTAAAGGATTACTTGCACCATCATTGATCGGTTTAATGCGCTCAAAGTGATCATCATAACTTGAATTGGTTGTTGAATCGCTTCTCTTTTTAGTCAACATTAAACTGATCGTTTTATCATTGGACTCACTGTTAGACATTTTAGTGAATAAGGTCACTTTCCGAAAAGGATATCGTTTAATATCAATATCAAGGGTCATGTTGAAAGTTGCACTTGAAGAGCCACTTTTAATTGGTAACAAGAATAGTTTATCACTTTCATCTGTTTCATCCATATCATAATAGTCTTGACGAGATGCTTGATTCTTGTTAGGATCCGAATGAAGTTGCCGTAATTCCAATATTTGGCTATCTAAAGAATCACAGAGAAAAACGAGATTAATCAAAGTTCCAGATAAAGTTCCTTTCTTTTTTCCTCCAAATTTTCATTGAAAATTTCAATTTACCAATTAATCTTCCGGCTTCATTCAATGTAATCATAATCACTCTTGTTTACAATATTGAAATCTTTTCATCTAAAAACATTTTGATCATAAAAAAGTCAACAATCTTTACTCTCTCCATCTTCACCGTTTCAAGTGTCTTGTCCATTCTTTTGCCTTCTCTTCATTTCAATGGTAAATCAGCTGAAAACATTATCACTTACATGCTTCATGATCCATCTTTGGTCTTATTGATGGAGCTCTATTTAATCCCAATTTGTGTAAAATTTTCATTTTAATATATTCCAATCTCAATTGTAATTCCTCTTTCACTGGATCCCGTTTGAATAGGTTAAAACTGAATGGTCTGAATGAGGGTGAAGGTACTTTTTGCTTAAGAGTATCAATCAATGGTGTTTTAAATGAATTAATTATTGGAGTTTCGGAAATTTGTTTTATTCCATATTCAGGGTTATCCTTCTTTTCTGGAACCACTGTTGATGATTCCGTTAACACTGGTTTCACTATTGATTCAGTTGTTGTTGCTGGTGAGAGTGTCGTTATCAATTCAGACGATTCTGAATGATCACTCAATGAGGTTGTTGATGATAAAAAATTCCTACCCGATTCAACATAACTCAAAATGTGTCGAAAAATTGACCCGCCAGTCGAAAGATCACTAAACAATTTACTACTTGTCGTTAAATCGCCAATCAATTGGCAATCAATTTGATTCGATTGTTGACTTACACTTAAAGTTAATGTAATAAATATTAACACAGTCAACCGTTTATCAAAAATAACTAATTGGAGCATTTTATACATTATTTGGTTCAAATTAGCAAATTAAATTAATTGTTGAAATTTGTTGCACAAATCAATTATACAAAAACAAAAGGCAAAAAGATTGAACAATCAAAGTCAATTGAAATTACTAAATTTAAATAAAATTTACTATTTGAGTAAAATTGAGAGTGAAAAAGGCATTGATTTAGAGCTAATTTTTGATGTTAAATTGACGATGAAATTGATGTTTGAGTTGATTAAATTTGGTGTCGTTTCAATTGTTTGGCACATTTTAAGTAAATCATTTGGTTGAGTGTTTAATTTATTGATAGATTGAAAGAAACTAGGAAAAATGTGATGAAAAATGTTTCGTTTTCACCTTTGATTTGAGGAAAATGTAAAATCATTTTGCTCGTTGAAATTGTATTTGAACATTGAAAGTAGCAAAAAAATGTGTTTTTGATTCACTTAATTATATTTTTGCTATTTTATCATCAACTTATTTCATCCAGTTTATCATGTTCTCCCTTCATCAGCTCACTCCTCATCTTAATCTTCATTTCTCACTTATTTTTTGATATCTTATTGATAAAAATGTGCATAGCAACAAACATATCTTAAATCCAAGGATCAACTTTAAGAACTTATTTGAATCGTTCGCATTCATCTTCCTCCTCCTTCCTCATCATCCTAATCATTTTCATCATCCTTTCTCATATCAACCAGAATCGTTGTAACAATTGAACTCGTCCTTTGTGATTTGTCCTCATTTGTCCCTTATTTAGGTCTAAATTGATCCACCTGAATATCATGATAGTGGACATTTCTGGTATTCACTTGGAGATGAAACTAATAGAGTTTACTGATTGTAACCTAATAATCTTGACATACTTACAGTTTTTCCTAAGAGTTACATTTTAACCATTCAACATTGTATTCACTTTGGAAAATTGTTTTTAATTGTTGAATAAAGTGAGGAAAGAGTTGCTCTGGAAATGAAATATTGTTACAAATTGAATCTAAGGTTAGGTTTTGTCATAAATGAGACCAATCCCAACAAATCAACCTTTTATTTCTCACTCGTTTAATCTGTTCATCATTACGGTTCAATGTCGAACCTATTTTAAGATTAAATCGATGGTTTACGTTTTTTCATGTCATAACCACCATAAACGATCATGATCGTGTTCAGAAGAAAGAACGGGAAGAATTGAAAGTGTAATGTTGATGATTAAAAATGTTGCTATTCAATTGCTCTCCATCTTCTCTGATTGTTCATTAATTAGATTAAGTTGTCACTAAAGTTGCCTAAAAGCGAGCGTGAAATTGTTTAACCATGAAAGTTTTGATAAAAAACTAGTAATTTGTATCACACTTCTGCTTCAATACAATAATTGTTCAATACCAAATCCATTCCTTGCAATTGTGGTTTTATGTTTCAATTTTTTTCCCTTAATCATTTCTAACGGGTTGGAACCAATGATTCCACTCAATGATTTAAATTGTTTCGCTAATTTTTCGTTTCCATGTTAACACCAACTTGTAAGCCAGTTTTGTATTCCAAATTGCTATCAAGTAAATTGTAAATGCTTTTTATTAATTCATGTTTACTTTTCATTTTATTCAATAGTTAAGTTTCCGTCCCACATTAGAAGAGCTCAAGGAACGTAAAATCATCCGTTTTAATGACTATGTTGAAGTGACCCAAGCACACGATTACGATCGAAGAGCAGACAAACCATGGACAAGGCTGACTCCAGAAGATAAGGTATGATTCGTCCTTAAATTGGCATTAATTTGCTAAACCAGATTCAAGTAATGGTTGAGGAAATTTCTAGTTGAAATTTTCATAAATCATAACAAATTAACTGGATATTTATTGTAAATTAGCAAATTTTAATGACCAATTTGACGCTCTTAAACATTTAATTCATAATTCTAATTCCAATTTCTTTCTCTTTATCTCTTCCAGGCTGCTATCCGTAAAGAACTTAATGAGTTTAAAAGCTTAGAAATGGCTGTTCATGATGAAAGCCGACACATGATAAGGTACTGGACTGAATATGGACAAATTGAGGCTCAATTTTACGGACTCGTTTCCTTCCCATTGACTTTTGAATTCATTATCAACACTGTTTTTGCTTACATGATCAGATATTTTGTATAAAAAAAAGTAGAAACACATTCTAAGAGAAAGATTAGTTTAACGTCTTGTTTACTCATCTCCTTGAATTATGAGTTAGTTTAACTTGCGATTAACATTGTAAAGACAAATATATCGACTACAGAGGAATACAATGATATTATTTCACTTCCTCCTAGATAAACGTAGAACGGTGCTTAAGTCGAGATACAATCTATTTTCAGAAGACTCTTATTACTTTACATATTGTTTCATCTTCAAATCAACAATCCAAAAAGGACTCTACACCTATTAATTATCAGAGAAACTTGTCAACAACTATTATCTTAAAATTGATGGGTTCAATTCTTATTCTGACCTTGCTTAATGATTGGAATAACAAAGATTTATTTTATTATTAGATTTGATGCTAATTCAATTTTTATTTCCATTCCTTTAATTCTAGATTCCATAAACCGTAAGGAGCAAGAAGAAGCAAATGTTATGATAACACGATTTTTATTGTGGATCCAAGCAAGCAAATCAATGTTTCCAATGATTGGTCAGAGGAACCAAGAAGAAACACGGCAACAATTAATTACGATTTTATAAAAAAACCAAATGGTGCAAAAAAAGAAACGAAAAAATGTTGATCAAGATTGATTTTCCTGTAAATTGTGATCTCGCCAACAACGAGGATTCTCAATGGTATCCTGAAATGTGCCAACATCTTTTATATTATCAAGTGTATTTAAACCAGTTAATTAGTTTAATTTATTGACAAAATGTGTAATAATTGGGCTGACAGAAAACGAGGGAAAAAAGAGGCTTAAATTGTGACCCGAAAGCGCAACAATCCATTTTTGAAGTAACAAAGCCAACTATCAATTCAGGATTCAATCAACTACAGCAAAGGATTAGGTGATGATCGAGGAATCGAGCGACTTTATGTCCATTAAGTTGTCCTGTTAAATTGTTTTTGTATTATTATGTTTATTATTATATTATTATATTGTTGTGATTATTTCATCTTCAATCTTTCCTATCATTATCATTTTTGCTTCCTTTCAATCCTTCACTATCTCTCTCTCTGTATAACCTTTCATCTGTCAACCTTTTTTCATTCCAAAAAACAATTCTCTTTTCTCTCTTCCTTTTCTTGTTCTTCTTTCAAAAGTCTTAACGATTCTTCCAAAGAAACCAACAAAAAAGTCATTACACATAAATCTCTATTGCAACTCTTTCTTTTTATGTCTAAACACAATTTGATTTTAATGTTTATAAATCATGAATCAACTAAATAATTAATTCATAAGACTTGTTAATAATAATCGCCGACTTCGTCTGTATCATTTTATTTTCCCCTTTCAATGTTCATTTCAACTTTACGCATTCATTACCAACAAAGCATCATTTTTTAAACTTCAAATTGACAAATTTGATCATTTCAAAATCTATCCTGTAAATTATGCAATCAATTATCAACTGAGAAGCTCAACTGTAAACACTATTAATTAAATAAATAAGATTATTTAAAAAAATCCAGTTCAAATGAAAGGAAAAGGTATGAAGTTAAGAAAATTTAAACTTGGCGGACAAAAATCTGCAAGGATTTTGAGGCAATTTTGTCACATTGTTATTCCATCGCATTAAAAACAAACGTTTAGCTTGATTAGTTCTAATTATAATCAGCTATTCAGTGTAATAACTTTTTCGTGATTAAAGGTTGAATTATTAATAATTTTAGCAACTAAACACCACGTGGGTCCCACCTTGTCAATAATGTTGATCACATGTTTACTTGCCAATGCTTTCATCTGTTTGTGTTCACTGTTGTGTTGATAACTATTTTTGTCTCTTCTTTTTTTAAATCAAATCTATTTGTTTAATTCATCTGATTTATGTGTAAATATATTGTTTATATCTATTTCGGTTTTACTTGAGTTTTGCTTTTTTGTCACATCGCATCATCTAAATACTTGAAAACCAGATGAAAGGTTATCTTTACGTTCGCTTGATTAGCCAGCATGTTTACATTAATCTGTACCAAAGATTAAGAAAAATACATTTCTTTTGTGATCATTGGTATTATCGTAATCCTCTTGTTTCATTGCTAATAAGACGACTTCAACCTAGACTATTCACCTTGCGGTCACTCAATTTGACTGCCTGTCAACGGCCAAAGTATTCGCCCTGGTTAATGTTATCTGGTGTTTCGTGTCACTTTTGGAATAATCAAGGTATCAAAGAAGACGAGATATGGGAATCAGTCAGTGATTTTGATAAATTGTTCCCTTCATTCAATCATCCTGCTAAAGATTCACATTCATCGACACCTCATAAAACAAAGATAGAAATACCATGTCCATTTAATAATAGAAGTAAACTTGACGAATCTGGTGAGGACCATGGATCATCAGATGAGGATGAAGACAGTCATAATGAGTTAAATAATGCAAATAACATTACAAGTGATAGCGATGAAACTAAAAAATTACTTACTGGCAAAGGCTGGGAACCTATAATATTGAGAGATAATTTTCAAGTCTGGAGACGAGAAATTAATTCAAATGGGACATACCAATATAAAGGTAGGTAGATTAATGTGAAATCTTGTCTATAAGTATCATTAATCTCATTTGCATCTTGTTTTACAGTTTTCGGAACATTCACTGATGTACCTGCTATAGCCTTTTTCACAGTTCAAAGGGATTTAGACTATAGAAAGTCATGGGATAAGCTAGTTATTAAATTAGAGGTTGTAGATAAACAGAATGAGTTCAAAAAAGCACGGAAAGGTGATCAAATAATCGATTCGGGAAATGAAGTTATCCATTGGGTGATGCATTATCCTGTAAGTTATTGATCTAATTTTATTTCTACGGACTATTTCAGTGTTCCAGAATTTGTATTTCCATCCGCAGTAAATACCAATCATTTTACTAATCAGAATCTCTTTTCTTTTTTTTCAGTTTCCAATGTATAGTCGTGATTATTGTTATGTGAGACGATCAATAATTGATTTCAAAAACAACATAATTGTCCTAGTCTCTCGATCTGTTGACCATCCAAAATGCCCGGTTTCTGATAAATACGTACGAGTCAACGAATATGAATCGCAAATGGTGATAAAACCACACACAACCTTTGATGCAAATGGATTTGATTACGTATTAACTTATTTTGATGATCCTCGATCAGCCTTTCCTAATCCAGCATACAATTGGATGGCTGCCTCAGGAGTTCCTAATTTTGTTGAATCATTGCACAAAGCAGCTTTACAGTTGAACAGAAGGGATAAAAAGAGTTCGAATAATAGCCTAGACAATAATAACCATCATAAAAATGGTAATTCTTTAAACAATCTGTACATTCAATGTATCACTTTCAATCGACCTCAACAAGAGAAAATTGATTGTTAATCTCGTAGTTTCGCTTTTTCTCATTTACCTTTTCGTTTAAATATCAGTCTAAAATACATATTTATTGTTGATTATTCTTCTGTTGATAGTATAAATAGCTCTGGCTCTCATTAAATCAAGAATTTAATTGCCAAGTCCATTTCCTTGCAATCGGATGCTTAACTGGAATCAGAACAGAGGAAATTAATACCTCATTTCATCCATAGGCAACTCCATCGAGATAAATGGATAATAATTATCAACTCAAGTCTATCAGATCACATAACTGAATGGATTACCCAATGGAACCTAAGTCAAAAGAATTGGATTTGATAATGATTGCTCCATTCCGGTTATTCCCAGCAAATCAATCAACTTATAGAATGCTGTTTTCCCAACCAATAATCAAGCATTTAGTAGCTCACAAGATGTCTCTACAAGTTCAATAAAGTGATTTGTCAAGAAGAAATGAGGAATCAAAATTGAAACAATCTAAAGTATGATGATAGATGATTGTTGATCAAAACTGGAATCTGCCAACCATCCAAATGTTTATCTGGTTAAATCTGTATCATAAATCAACTTGAACACAGGAGCCGCAAAAGATGTAAATACAAACAAATAGCTCAAAAAACTCCAACATCAAGGATTTATCTGAAATTAATACAAATTATAAACCAAATCAATCATCACCAAACCCAATATTGTTGGTTAATAACTGTATATTGTAATAAGCATAAATGCATCACAAAAATATTGTGTGATAATTGCTTTTGATTTAAGCTTCAATAATAAAAATTAAAGGCAATTGATAAAATTAAAATAAGCTAATTTGTCCATCAAACCAGTCTAGACATTGAATCGGATAAAATGTCTTGAGCCTAATCCGTTAAATTGATAATCATTGTTGTCAAATGAATTGAAATAATCTAGTTGTTACCTGATAATTCAGGTCGACGATAAATTGCGCATGAGCCTATTACAAGCCTGTCAGAACTGAAATCCTGTTGAGTTGAAATTCAAATTATCAGGTGAAACATTGGATAGACGAAACACATCTTACACCAGAATAGTTACTCCATCATTAAAGGTTGAGATAGTTCAACACTTCTCAACATTAACTTTTATTTTTTCATTTTTTCCTTCTTAGTTTAAAACCATTTTAGTTTCAATGTTAACACATTTTATAATTAACTTTAAAATCGGATCAATGTTTAATTGTAACAAAATCAACAATTTCAATGTTTCAAAGTTTTCCATTTTGTCTCTGTTAAGTGTAATTGTTAAGTTTAACTGTTAAGTGTTGGTTCAAATGTATTTTGGTTTAAACCCATAACTCAATTGAAACCCAATTGTTCAAGCGTTGTGAACGTTCAACAAAGTGATCTAACAAAGTGAAATTAATTGTAACAATTAACAAATAATGGCTTCTTCTTCTGGAAATTGTGTCAACTTCTCAACTATACCTTTACAAAATTCAATTGAGCATAAGGTAAGTTTGACAGTTTTAATTGAACAACAATTGTGGAACCATTTTTAACTTCACTTATTAATCCAATTGAACAGCCTAAATGAAGCTCTTGAAAGCGTGAAATTAAAAGTTAATCAAGTGAACCTTGTGACAATAAGATTCAATTGATTTGTTTGTCAAACCCTTTAATCAATCGACTATTGATTAATGTACAAGTTTTAATTGTGCAACAGATCGTTCATCCATAGTGAATAAAAACCAGGAAAATGATTTAACCGGTTAACAAGGTTTCGGTCAAAATTAATGGGCAACATTTATTCAAGCAAAGACAGTTTACCGTCAAATTTGATGGCTCAAGTTTACTGACCATTGTCAGCTTTTCATTATTGGCAACAAATTGGTTAAAGTGTAGCTCAGTCAAGTGCTACATTTCAAGGGAAAAATCATTATTCAATTTAACTCTAATCACCTTTTAACCCATCAGACATAACTGTCTGGATATTTGAACAACTCGGTTGCTTTATTGTGTCAGTTGAATCAACAAAAGTTAATTGATATCAATTAGTTGCTGTTCATTACAATTTGCAAGTTTAAACAAAATGATTCTCTGTTGGATACAAGATCAGACTTTTTCACACTAGACGTGGATAGACTGGGTTTGGATGAACCATTTTTAACAGCTTTAATGATCATTTGAACAACCAATTTGATTTAATTTCAATTGGAAATCGTTTTAATTTTAGTCAGAATTCAATTTGATTTTATTTAAAGGTATATTGTGATGATCCGAGTAAGATTATAACGTTTATTCGGTTCAATATTGAGCTTGAATCAACTAACCTCTTCTTTGTCAAGCTCTGCATTAATACATTTTGATCTTGGAAGAGATCTTCGAAGAGATAACAATTGAACATGTTCGTGTGGAATTAAACCTAAATTATATTCACGAATGTGGAAGCTTTAGATAATTAACAGTTAATCAATGGTCATTTATGTGGCCAATTCTTGTTTAACATTTCTTCTTCCTTACAATATGTTCCTAGCTTGAGGTGATCAAGGAGAGAGTTGGATAAACTTTTGGTAAACCTAACAAGGTTTAGGTTCACATTTTATCGTAATCAACTGTTTTCCTTTTTATTGAAAAAATAATTTGATCAGTGAATACTGAATGCACTGATATTTAAATCATGAGTTGCAAAGCCGAAAAATTTGAATCAATTTCAATACAATCAGAACAAATTAGATAAACTCAAAGCGATTGAACACTTTATATTTGAAGAGCATAAAATTTACATCGATCGAGCTTGAGACAGTAATTCAAATCGAACATCATTTCCAACATTTTTGGCATCAAATCTTTCACTCGATTGCTCAGCACTTTACTCATCATATTTTCACAGCTATGCACTGAATTGTCGAAATCCAAAAATTCTCCAGGAAAATGCATACTAAACATATCCAAAGTAATGGACAATGTAATAGTTTTTAATCGAGTATCGAACTAAATTCACTGCTTAACCATTTTGGATTAAAAGTGCGAATTTATATTCGAACTCGATTATTCCATCGGGTTCCTCATCATGTGCCACTTTGGATGCGATTCCCAGTTCGAAATATGATTCAATTATTTTGCTCATTATTTTGGCGAAGAAAATAATTTCAAAAGCGAAACTCGATTGGTCACAAGTGTAATCAAATTGATGTCTCGAGTTGATTTGATTGCAATAAATTTACTTAATCCAATTCATGGAAAGCATTTATTACAAGTAAATGTCAAACATCTCAAGAAGTCGATTCCCCAAGTTTAATGATAATTATTTGAAATGAATCAACGTGTCAATCAATTCATTTATCATCAGCAACATTATTAATGGAATCAATAATATTGAACAACCACAAATAGTAAATGTAATAAATGAACAAAAAAAGTAAAATTTCCATCCCAATCATCATTTAGCAAATATTTTAATATCTTTTTCCTTCTCTCACCATAAACTATTAAAAGACTAATCAATACACAAATGATGATAGACTATTAAAGGAAACCATTAAACCATTAATACACTTTAAACTGTAAAACAAATCAACATTCACATTTAATTCAATTTAAAACAATCACTTTGACCAACTGGGATAACTGAATAACAATGAAAAATAGCAAGTTAATTGTGATAAAGGAAGAAACGAAATTGCTTCAAGCTAAAAACACTTTCAGCCAATAATGTAGTTATCATATTTGTCTCACAATTAACTTGTTAAAATTGAATTCAAGTGAGTTACAGAACCAGAAACTTAAACATTTATTTTGTTCATTTTGCCTTACAATTATTTTTACTGTGATTTAGTGATGAAGAAAAGGTTGAGTGAAGCAGATTAATTAAATTGTTTCATTCCCTGAATACTCAATTCTCATTAAGATCACTGAGTAACATTGAAAATTTCAATTGTTGGATTGACATTTGAAGGAAAAAGAGAAAGCAACATTTTCTCCTTTCACCATTTTTCCATCAACGTTAACCTAAAAGGTTTTGCTTTTCTCACCGTCAACAGTGATTATGATTGATATTCTGGAGGAATGAACATGATTAACATGAAAATATTATTGATAATATTACAAAGTATTTATCGAAAATAATATATATTAAAGGCCTAATTATGTGAGCAAGAAGAAGAAGAAATTCCCATGAAAAAAACAAGATTCTTTTTTGGTTCGTTCTTAATAAGTTTACAGGGATGTTTAGGTAATAATATGATAGAAATATTCAAGGATAACTTTATCATCATCATTATCATCATCAATAAGGAGAAGAGGAAAATAATCACGTTGAAGAAAAGGAATGAAAAGGTGACTAAAGATGATCATCATGATCATGATGGATATTAGTGAATCCCAATTTTTCCACTTTTTCTTCTCTCGTTTTGTTTTCATAACTTGGGCGTTCAATTGAGCAAAACAAGTAATCGATGGAAACTCTTTTTTTTATATCAGCTTCTTATTTTTTCATCTTGATAAACATCAACCTTTTTGTCTTCATTAAAGGTTAACTTGATTCATTAAATGTTGAGCTTTCATTAATCATTTTTTTGGGCTCTATTTGCGCTTTTCAATTCAACCATTGTTTTGATAAACTTTTCATGTGAAGTTCAATATTGGATAAAGATGATGATCAATATAAATGTTCAACTTGAATTGGTCAAGTTGGTGAAGATTATTTTGATTTATGAACTTTGCAATTTTGGTGTTTTTCTTGGTTGAAAATTTCATGTTATTTGGGTTTATCTGGTCAACTTTGGGAAAATATTTTTTGTCATTTTAATTGATTTCTTGAGGTGACCATAGAGATTGAGAGATTGCTAGTTTCAAGATTGAGTTTTGTTGAGTCTTGTGAGAATCTCGAGTTTCTCTATTCATATGTTAATATTATTTATATTGGTACATGAAATGGATAAATTTGAATTGAAAGCAACTTGAAGTGAAGTGAATCCAAGTATAAAAGATGAACTTGAAGGTGAAACCATTTGGTCATTTCTAGGATTGACGCCATTCTAATAAACAATTTTACTCGATTAAAGTCAAATTCAATTGAAACGGGCTACTCAAGTGTCTTTGGTTGAGGAGTTACAAAAGTTGAAAAATTGAATCAAACAGCAACTGAAGCTGTTATGAAATTTTGATATTTTGGTTCATCAAAACAGTCAAATTGTCGAAGATCAAAAAGGTATTAAAAATTAATCGCTCATAGAAAAGACAAAGTCCAAGTCATTGTTGTCAATCTTGACCAAACATCTTGAACGATTGCAAGTTAAACGGCAAATCCGACTGAAAGTCTTTAAGAAGATGTAATACTTTTTTTGTAATAATGACCGATCGCTTTATAATACCTTTCATAACATTAATTGCGAACTTAAGTTTCTTGTCCAAAAGACGTGAAACCACGAACAACTTAAAGTGTAATCTTATTTGATAACTTGATTCCTTTTAATATCCTTGTTAAAAGTGTTATTTTTACATTTCAATTGTTACGATTTCTTGGAGATCCTTTAAGATGTGACATTGTTGAGTAAAGTTTATCTGACTTTTAATAACTTTTACTTACAGTCAATTCACATTAAAAAGATTCAAATTCATAAAGAAATAAATAAATCTGTTTCCTTTTGTCACTTTGAGAAGATGTGACAAAGGCCTTTCCTCAAAACGGTAAATAAAAGGTTGACATTTAACCATAATTTAATTATTTTGTTCAACAATTGACAGATTCTCTTGATATCATTGTTAATGTTTACACACATTTTTTTGAAGCAACATTTGAAATGCTTCAAAAGTCATAATTACCAAATGTTGCCAAAAAATCTGTAAACATTAAATTTCCAATTGACTGAGCAAAGAAAGGAAAAGAAAGAACTCTTTAATAATCTGAATCTTGACCATTCTGTCCATTGTGATGGATCAAAACTAGTTCATCTTTCAATATTTATTTCTATTCATTGACAAGAGTAGATTGGGTTTTTTTTGGATATTTTTATCATTTTTGCATAAAGTCTCTTTTCGTTTTGAATTACTTCGATTCAAATAGTTCTGCACCTGAAACATTAGATGGACAATTTCAGGTACTCAACTGTAACCGTGATCAACTTATGGTTCAAGATTTGAAACATTATTGGGTTTGCATTATTATTGTGACAACAAATCGATATCAACTTTATCAACCATGATGATGATCAAAAGTGATTTTATCCAAATGAAGTTTCATCTTACTCGAGTAATATGATTGAACCATTAATGCATGTTTCAAACGATTCCGCGCAGTATTTCAATGAATCAATGCTTTTCTTTGATTTAATGACAAGTGACCTGAAACCCAACAAATGAAGAAGTAAAAGAGTTTTCCATTTTCGCCATTTCCTTACGCATCAAATGAATTACAAACTGGAGTTAAGATGAAATTTGACCTTAAACTTGATTAGCAAACAAAAAGGTAATTGTATAAGTTGATGAAAAGGTAAAATTGAAGTTTAATAAT